AATAAAATCCCCAGCGAAGTGCAAGCACTCTCAATAAATAAATTTAAATCGTATGTAAAACAAAAACTGCTTGAAAAGGGTTATTATCACGTTAATCAATATTTAAATGATAAAAATGCTTGGGGTGTGGAGGAACCCGCTCTTACAAGGAAAAATATGTAGTGTACTAAAAGTAAATCAAGAATGTAAAATGAAACTTGGCGATAAAAGGAGTGACGGCGAGTTTATTGCCAGTTCTTCTCGTTCGTTCTACGCCCTTGATTTGAGAACTGGTAGTAAATGTAAAGTTAGATTCTTTAATTATTTTGTGACGTTCATAAGTGTACATAGTTACCTACATGAATAAATGATTTTTGACTTTAACAAATTAAGTACGGCCCGACATATTGGATGCTTTGCAGCAGCCGTGCTCACAGGGTGACCAACGATAGAAGGTAGGAGAGGGAGGGTGTCTACCCCCTTGTGTTCGCCCTATGCCCCATGGGGAAAACGGGATTTAACTTTTCGTGTTCATAATTTCCTATGAAAAAATTAAGAACTTTTCATAGATAAAAAACATAATTTTCAAAGAAAAACACTAGACTTTTGTTCATGAACTTATCCGAATAAATTAGATTTTTAATTAAAACTTTTTCACTTCATTCGAGTAAGTAACAACAAAAACCCACAGAGAATATCAAAGGCGCGACTCTATCTGTATTTGTAATTGGCACTCGATAAGTTTCTGTGGACAGCTTCGACGTTATCACAGACCCAAAATCCCATTGCGTTCAACAAAATACGATAGCAATAGCTGTAATTCACCACAGATAAAGCGATTCTAATTGGCGGGAAAAATATCGCTTCAAAATTGGAATTGGCTCAAAACACGCTCTAACATTTAAAGAGGTTTGAATAAAAAGTTTTTATATGCCTGCATTGTTTTTATTTGCATAAACTGTATATTTTTTAAAGAATATTTTATGGCCTAGTAACAGGACTTTTAAGCCATAAAATTTAGATTCAAGAGATATCTATGTTTGTTTGTTATGTAAATATATGTATATATTTTTCAATCAAATGTAAAACAAAAATAGTTTTTTTAGTACAGTTGTTGTCACGAATGGTTTATTACCCTTATAAATATAATTTAAAAGCTGCTATGCTTTCAGCTTCTCACTTAAGAGGAATATAACGCAGCAATTTTATTGCGTCATTTTCCGCTATGGCGGGAACATTGGCTTGAAAGACGTGTCCTTTTGACCTCTAGGGTTGTAAGATTTTTGTTACGCCCTGCGTGATTTCAGTATGACCCATAAAAACCTCGTACCCTGACGTGGATAACTGTGACTTGTTGGCGGCTAATATATTTTCACAAAGCTTTTGTGCTGAAGGCTTGTTAAATGGAAAAGAGATGTTTATTTTATCGTTTTAGGTTGCTTATTTGATTTAGTGTTAATGTATAATCTAATCTGCGATAACGAAATCTAGGATTTACATTTATGGATTTTGGCTATTATAAATAGAAGATTATAATTTTCATCATCGAGTTAAGCGAAAATCTATACTATAAAATTATGAATATTGAAACTGAAGAGTTTGTTTGGAAGCGATTACTACTTACTGGTTCAAATTGAAAAATATTTTTGTGTTAGTCGACGCGTTTATCGAGGATGGCTTAAGCCTATAACACATTTGCGACCAATAGGACCAATGAAATAGTAGATATGTGAAATACACGGAGAAAGTTGTATTCGTTGGGTTCCGTTCCATGTGCTAAGACAACGCTTCAAGTTCAAAATATCAAAAAAAAAAACTTTTTGTAATTGTGCGCGACAATACGTGTCTAACTTTTAAAATTAACTCACGTAAATCGTTTTTAAGCTAATCATTTATGTTCGAAATGGCAAAAGGATAATTGCCAGGTCACAGAGTATATCAATAAAGAGCAAATACATTCTAGACGTTATATACGTCTGTCTAAATTGTAATTAACTACCCTTTATCTTTTGGACGGTGACAGTCACGTGTTGTCAGCAACGCTCTTGATGCAAATTGAAAATGCGTTTAATTAAACGTTTTTACAATAACACGCTTTCACGTCAAACACAAAAACGTTTTATAAATATAATTGACAATGGGTTACGTAAATGAGTGTGTTATTTTAAATAACTTTTTGTTTTTTAAATAGAACACTTCAACTGTTTAAAACACGAAATATATTAGCTAAATTTGTTTACAAATTATTCTTAAAACATTAAAAACGAGTTTAATATATTTCGCGTTATAAACCATTTAAGTGTTAAGTTTATGTATTACTCGCGTAAACTACTAACAGTATTTAACTTTTTGTTTTTTCAAGTATATATAACACGTTTCTTGTGGGTAGGACACGGGGCAGGCACAAGTCTGTGTCTGTTTTAAAAGTTACAAGCAAATGGTCGATTTAATGTCTGTGCCTTGCTCGAAGAAAACTTTTAATGTTTGTTAAAGTAATAGTAAAACAATTAACAATAAAATTTAGATAAAATACGAAGTTGTATGTACAACATCTATTCGCCTCGCCCTTGTTTCATGAAATCTCGAACAATCGCAAAATTGCTTACGTGAGGTAAATACAATGTGATTTATTGAACTTTCTGTCCGTCTATATGAAACAATGTATTCTAATTTATTTAATTCTGTAGTAGCTTGTGTTGGTTGGATTAATTATGTATTTTACTTTAATTAAAACTACAATTTAAGGAGAAATACAGAAGGTTTATTTGTAGTTTACGTCGTGGTAGTACACATTAAATAAAACACGTTTAGTTATTTTAAAATATATAATTTAATTTATTCTCGACTATGACCCGACGGATCGGAACTTTGCAGCAGTCGTGACCCCCTAATATCCGTAACTAAGTTTTAAAGGTTTAAAACGCAATATACATACGGGTGACTAACGCGTTTGCTTTGTTCATGGTTCATGGTTCATTATAAAGGTCACTAATATAATATTTGAATATAGATAAAATTTCTAACGCCTTTAAGAAACGTATTAGCAAATTTTCAATTATTTTTTTAAACTAAATATGTCTTCTGTCCTTAGAAAAACAAAAACGACAAAACCAAATACTGTCTATAGTTTACGCGAGTAGTACACATTTAAATAAAACTATATATATTAGTCGCGAAACGTCGGGCCGAAGTTAAAAATTATTTTCAAATAAGTTTAACTACTAATAAAATAAAACACTTTAACGGTTTAAAACGCGATATATTGCGTTTTAAACCGTTAACGTGTTTTATTTAAACAACAAAACTATTTTAATGTTAGGTCAATATATAAAACAAATGTGATCGTTTAAGTAATAGTAATAATACGTAATTCATTGACAATTAATTATCGATTTCAAATTAAAAAAAAATACGACACGGGCAAAACTGCGAGCTGTTGCTCTCAATTGGGACACGATATTATACACTTTAGCTCTATTGGTTAGAGCAACAGCACGGAGCGCTGTAGATGCTGGTTCAAGTCCTGCCCGCGTCGTAAAAACAATCTAAAAACGATTTTTAATTTAAATACATAAGTACTTATTCTAGTATGTAAATGTATTAAATACTTTCGTACAATGTATTTTCTTGCACAGTACCTACTTTAAAGCGTGCACCGATGACTCACCGAAGATCCTCACGATTATCATAGAATTACATACGAAATAATTAACAAGTATATACTTAGAACTACAAAGAACAATTACTATTCAATGTCTTTATCTTTAGGTATTGATGTAAAAACAATGTGTTTTGTTGTTACTACTAAAGTTTCAATGATGGTGAAAGATCTCCTTTCTTAAGTGCTTAGGCCCACCACGCTGCTCCACTGCTACAAGATTATAATGACTATTACAAATTAATTGTTGACGGGTTCGGTTCTTATCGCGTTTAGTTTGTGGATTTCCAAATATCCAAAGCTAAAATATAAGCGTGCTAAAGTCAAGAACTAAGGGTTCCAATTTAAAAATATTTTTGGGTTGAATATTTACCGAAAAAGGGATCACGCTGTGATGGATGTGAAACTTGGACATTTGTTAATTTTTGAGGCTTATAAACTATAAAAATATGTATAAACGATTTTACTATTATACATCTGCCTTTTAAGAATATGTAACTCGCTTTTGTTAGAGTTGTATCAACATCATTATATTATGCTTGCAAACAACAGAACAGCGTCTGCTGGATCAGCAGATAGTATTATAATAGTATAATAAAAATACCAACTCTAATACACCTAGAGTAGGTATTTTATTTACCAAAAATATTTCTATAGTTCGTAAGAACTATATTCCATTAACTTAGCGCCATCTGTCTTCGTAATTGTGTCTAAATACTAAATTCAATATAGCGCAAGCGCAGTTAGGAGCGGAAGCTAGGTTTGTTGAAATCCGTCAAAAGTCGTATTATACACGCTTAAATTGCGTTCAAGAACGTTTGTATTGAAAGACAATATGAAAAACATTCCACTGTACACAGACAGTAAATGTGACGAATAACTTTATTTATTGTGGTAATAAAATTGCTTGTACTTTTTTTACTTTAAGATAATCGTTTAGTAAAAACCTACTGGTTTAATTACTTACTCATGCTATTTTTTATTATTTGTAGAATTTCAAGCTACTATGTCGTATTTGGTCAGTACGTGAATACAAATGAAAATTTGTTAATAAACAGGAGACAATTACTATGATTAAAATGTTATATTTCAATTAACATTTTACAATATTTATTTTGTCTGTTAGATCAGATGTTCCATTTGACGGCGCTTACGCAAGCTACTCACTTAGCCTTCACAGATTAGGTATAACCAGAAAGAAATGAGGTTTAATAGCTCTTCAAAGAATTAACCCTTTCGTAAAATAACTATAAGAAAATGATTTTATATTATTTTTCTTTTCGCTATTACACACTGTTAGTGCAAAACTTTATGAACCACGTACATAAGTGTTTATTTGTTTACAAACATAATGGAAACGGATCTATAAAACCAGAAGTGTAATTGCAATTAACATGATTGCTGATAATTTCGTTCGTCCGTCGTGTAACTGCGCATTGTTTGTCATCCGATCATTAACGAAGAATAAAACTTTATCGCAGTCCACCTTATAGCTTGTTTCTGCTTCCCTACTATACATTATAAGCTTACAATCAGCTTGACGGCTCACATACAAGCGCATTCGAGTTATAGGATCGAGTATGGTCGTAATTTTCCAATCAATTACGCTGGACTTCTGGCTGGTCGGCTTCAAGGCTATCTCCTCTTGATTCCTCGGCTCCTCGCTCCATAAGCTCACGTCAACGTCGTCTTCGAGCATTTTCCTGGAGTTATAGTCGTAGATGTGGTTCCGGAGAAACGACTGGGCTACATAGCAATAGACTGCGACCGTTTCTAGTAATTCCACGTCTTCTATTCTTAACCAACACTGTTCAGCGCGCTCATTTCTAAATGGTAGTCCCAAAGGTACAGGAAGAACCACATACGGCTTACTCACCTCCTTGCTATCTGCGTTGATTATATTCATAAGCAATAAGATAAATAACATTTTAACAGTGCTGTTCTGCCGGCGCCATTATACTAACTAACTATTGTGATGGGCTGTAACTCCAGTTGTGGTAAAAGGTAATGCAAAATACGTTCACTATGGATAGTTGCAAGATTATTGCTTCAATTTACTGCCTATTGTTACTTAACATTTTGATAGTCTAATAATTATGATTCGATATGCTTAGTATTTAATTATACGAGCAAGGTCGTTTTAAATGTACTGTCTTTATTTGTTTAAACACTCTCGAATCGCATTATTTATTTTTAAATGAATATTTTAAATAAAATACAAGTGTATACGATATAAGATAATTTAGTTTTTATACAAGTAATGTGATACTCTGTATCATAAAAATACTAATGATAGTACCAGTACACAGAAACATTATTTTTGAAATAGCGCCGCCATCTGTAGGCTTGATTTAAGTTGAGCTTATACCTTTGTTTGTTCAGATAAAACTAGATAGATGGCGCTTATAATAATTTTTGAATCGTCAGAAATTATTGTGACTAATTCTAATGATCACTTTATGTTACTGATGATATTCTGTCAATTATTCAATCATTTGTTCGTAACTATAAATTTAATTAATTATTTTTTGCTGGCAACCTTTTTATAGTCACACGGTCAATGACTCATCTGTCAAATTTATCACGGCTGCCAATACCGTGCCAGTGCATTTGCCATTCGACGCCATGTTAGTTTGTTATTGTACCCCGTTGTAGAAGTGCGCGCGAGTGACTAGTGTTTTACTCGAGGAATTGTGATTTTCATCGAATATTAGGTTTAAAAAATGCATCGATATATATATGCATTGTTGTTTGCTGTACTAGTGCTGTCTTTTACGCCTTTAGAGGCGAGACGGACTATCGGTGGAAGTAGACATACTTATCCTAAATCTGGTGGCCTTTCGGGCGGAGGAAGTCATGGGTATCCCCCGTCTAGTGGAATGTCTGGCAGCCACGGTTATCCTGCTTCAGGAGGTCTGTCGGGTGGCGGATCGCATTACCCATCCTCTGGAGGGAATCACGGGTACCCGTCATCGGGAGGAAGTCACTCTTACCCATCGTCAGGCGGAAGCCATACCTATCCATCATCAGGAGGCAGCCACAGTTACCCTGCTGGCAAAGGCTTATCTGGAAACTCACCAAGCACCGGAGCGGGTCATACTACTAATATTCACAACCACTACCATTACAGCCCGCCTCAACAAATAAGGTACACACCAACTCACGGCGGCGCACCTATGAGTTACCCAGTATACCACGGCCCTCCGCCGACCTACGTCTATCAATACAAAGACTCCGGTAGTAAATACGGCACACTATTGGCTGGTCTGGCTCTCCTCAACCTTGGAACTCTAGCCGGCGGCGCATACGCATTGAGCCATTCGGGTCATTCGAGTTCGAATTACAAACCGCAGCCCGGCGAGGTCTGCAAGTTCGGAATCAAGAAGGAAAATGGCGACTACGAGGAAACGAAAATCGATTGTCAGTTGATAACCAGTTTCATTTTCGAGGAGGAAGCCAAAACTCAACACGGCACCAACACGACAGTCGTAACAAATGTGACAAGCGTCACAACTGTTAATGGGCCAGCATCCGAAATGCCACCTGTGCCGCAGAAGACATTGTACGAGATGTTGCCGAATGGCACACTGGTTCCGGTAAATGTTACTGACGCACATCCGATGAATGCAAGTGATGCAACGAATAATGCGTCATCCACGACCACAATAACTGTCACCAATACGACGACGGTGAGCGCTCTGGACGTCAAGGGGAAACCCGTGGACGTGACCCCGGGTATGCAGTGTTACGTCATGAGGCACACTTCAACGTCAAACATGAAGCGATCAGTACCCTGTCGTCTCTTGCAAAGCTACGCGGATCAGTCCCTGAAAAAGAATTCTGCAACAAGAAACATTCCGATCCTAACATTAGTTACAGTTGTTCTCGCTAAAATGTTGATTTAGCGATTCTCGTTCTTTTCTCGAATCGAATTTTCTCGAATTGGTCCTCATTGCCATTTCTGTAACTAAGACTATTTATGTATAAGATGGCAACTAAACTTTTTAGTTTATTTATAAGTGTTTTGTAAACAAGGACTCTTCTCTACGCTAAAGATATTATACTTTAGTACTTAACAATAACTGTATTTAAATGTGATATTTTCCTAAAGTATTTATTTTTGAAATAAATGTTAGTTACAAGTGTGTCTTTGACTTAGTAAGTCAACAATAGGCGGCGTTGTTTATTTTGCGATAAGTAAAATTAGTTACATGGCACTAGAATATTCTATTATTTGCTCCGGCACAGTGACGTGCTTATCATAAATGTAAAATTTTTAAAACGATTTAATTACATCTTATTACGAATTAGACGCCTTAAAAGACATTAAATTTGAAATGAATCATTACTTTTCACATATATGTAAATATTAAATTAAATAAATAAGTGTTGCCTTACATAAAACACTTAATATAAATGTACAGTATCCTTTACTAAAAATTTTACTTAATCCCAATATTATAAATATTATTAATAACTTTCCAAAGTTTAAATTAACGCTTTTGTTTTCAATCTTAAACAGCAGACTGGAACGAATCGCGTTAACTGACTGTAAAAATTAAAAACATGCTTTTATAATTATTTTCCTTGTACAGTTACGCAAATCGACGTTAGCATTGGGTATTTTTTCAATGGTCAAAAATATTTTCAGAACAGTCCTCCGTAGTTCAGTAATCCTGGGTTGGGTAATGTCGGACAAAGTAATGGCCTAAAAGTGGATTTTACACATAATAAAATAGATAAATAGTATACAATCATATAATGTACGTTTCACACGTAGAACATCAGCTAATAAACATAACCTTGGTTACGTCTTAAAACGGTAGCGATCTGGCGAGTCAATAAAACATTGCAAATATTGATATAAAATACATGATTTGTTGTATAGTTTAGAATTAGTATAGCTATTGTGCGTTTATTTAAAGAGTGAAGCCCAGTTACATGAGGCGTGGTGGCGATAACGTGTGCCCGTTTCACTGATCGGCTTTATTTACAGGCAGTTGATCAAACTTCTGTGCCCGACCGAAACCAACTATTGTGTCCCCGGGATTCAAACCCAGAGGCGGTTATTTATTTGCTGTATCTAAAATTTAATAAACAGACAGACATTGCTGTGAAGTTAAATTGAGTAAGGCTTTCACGGCCATCGATCAGCATATTATTGTCTTTCGGGCTGTTCGGCCGATGTGAGCGAGAAGAGGTTCTCGACGTTTCGCCATCACGTGTGGACGGCATCTTCAGGAGATGTTGACTCCTCGATTGCTCGAAGAATTCAATTCTTCGAGCAATCGAGGAGTCAAGCCCGAAAGACAATAATATGCATTGCTGTGAAGTTTTTTAAATAAACCCTTAGTTATATTGTTTTTAATAAATACGTCTTTACTATACCCGCCACCGTCGCTTAAACGCGATAAAAAATCTTGCGGAAAAATTATTCGGTTGTGCAGAAGAGTCTCAACAACTAACCTTAATTGTTACTATAAGTGATCACTTGTCTCTTTACCGTTGTATTTTTTCACGTTTATATTGAACTAACGACAGATTTGGCTGTGTTTAAAAAACTATAGCAGTAAGTCCCTAAACATTTAAATCCGTAATATTTTTTATGATAAAGGAGAACAGACAAGCATGGCGTCCACTCGATTGAAGGTGAAATATTCTTCCTATACACATAATAAAGCCAAAAATAGCCAAAAGCTTTTAATATTCACAAATCCACAGACTGAAGCCTGAATTTCGATATTTATACCGACCATTTAATATTAATAATAAATTAGAACCAGTGGCGTAACTATACCGTTCGAAGCCCGTGGCAAATTCATCGAATGGGCCCTCCCACTTCCCCAATATATAAAGAAGCTGAACCAACAATTGAGATTTTCTCGGACCGGGGGCCCCTTCGGGCTGGGGGCCCGTGGCATTTTGCCGACTTGCCACCCTATAGTTTCGCCACTGACTAGAACCATGTTGAACCCGGTGAGGAATGAACCCTCGACCCGTTGATTATAATTATTATAAGCCATACTACTATTAAACCAACCAGCTCGTCAAAGGTAAATAACAAGTCAATATTAAATCTATCTACTATTATTATCTGTAGAAATCTGTTCTTTGTTGTGACTTTGATTCGTACTTGGTTGCATTTTCCTGTAGCTCTTGCGTCATGTTTCATTCGACGACTTTTAACTTTCAAAACAAATCGACGTTAGATTAATTCGCGTGCTACCCTTATAATCTACGTTCAGTCACGTTATAAGGTTAAAAAAACGATAACTTACTTTACAGACAATAAAATAACTCATTAAACCGTTATCATTAATTAATCATATACTTAATGGATTATAAATCTGGTTATTAAACAATTATGGGAACAATGTTCTCTGGAAAATTATACATTACTAATTGATCTGGCAAACGTTTTCTTGTCTGTAAGAGAAATAATATTATGTTGTTACAACTCGTAAGTAATTGGGAATGACGCATTTATTACAACCAAATTTGATGTTCATAAAAACGTTTCTTGCGGGTTAATTTTAAAAGAAAGACTGTCTGTATACTGTCGCAGACATTTTAGATTATTTAAAGAGGAATCATTATTTTATACATATTTTTGCGACTAACCACAGTAAACCATAGTTATCAGTCAAGGTGTTATTGCGACGCTTAGGTTCTCTTTTGTATGAAGTAACCCATCAAATGTAGGTATACCTTCACATTTATTAAGTACGGAGAAAATGTTCTTTTACTTCCAGTCATAATATCTGTATGCTGGGTTGCCGGTGCTGGGGTGGGCTTCCTCCCACTCCTCGGCTGGCATGCTGCTGTCGGACCGTCGCCTGGGTGCTACTTCGTTGAAGTCATGGACTATAACTACCTCTTGTTCCTGTACTTCGCTACCATTGTTACTCCCAGCGTGCTTTTGGCGGCGTTTTACGCACACATCTATAGAGTAGTAGTTAAACAGGTAATGTATATTTAGTAGTAAAGTAGTACACATTTCAATAAAACACTTTCAACGGTTTAAAACAGGAAATATATTACTTTACTAATTTACAAATTATTCTTACTGGATGTGGCCCGACGTTTCGGATGCTTTGCAGCAGCCGTGGTCACACAGTCTCCCCGTGACGCATCCGAAACGTCGGGCCGAAGTTAAAAATCATTTTCAAATAAGTTTAACTAATATATCGCGTTTTAAACAGTTAGTGTTTTATTTAAATATATACCATTACTATTAAAACATTAGATGGAGCTATGCCAAGCGTAGTTATTTTTAAATGACAATCTCAACTCTCTCAATACCGATATGCAATTGTATGTTAAAACTAAGTTTCAATTCAAAACATTGTTATTATTTTGGGGACACCGATAGAAGGCCGGGTGAACTGTCTTCATTATTTATTGACCAGCCATTCCACCCCGCCCCACGACGACTTTGAAGTAATCCAAGTACTAATTTTCCTTCAAACCTTCCGTCTCCTTTGCAGTATTATAAGCATTTTTCACACTCACTCAATAGAGGATCGCTGCTTACATCTATCATTGTAAGATTACGTTTTGTTACAATCTTTATTTCAAAATAAAATCACTATAATATCGATACTAATAGATATAGCTGAAGAGTTTGTTCGTTTGTTTGAACGCGCTATACTCAGAAACTACTTATACATACAATTTTCGTGTTGCTTGTAGCATTCTTCGAGGAAGGCATAGGCTATAAAGCATTTCGTTATGACTAATAGAAGCAAAGAAACAGCGTGAAATGTGGAAAAAAAACGGGGGACATTATTCATCTCTGTGGGTTTCCGATGCGTACGCTGCGAAAACTGTTCAAGACACTCCAAAATATGACTTCTCTTTGAATGATCTAAAAAAATCCGCAACACTATATTATGACTATCTATTAAGATTAACTTGCAAGACCGACGGGATCCGAACGACGGGACGCGACCAATGTCGTGGGTAACAGCTTAAAGTTTGAAAAATTTTAAATTTACTATACTAAAATATACCAAAATTACTATACTACGCGGACGAAGTCGCTTACCCAGCTAGTATCTTATATATTTTAAAGTCAAAAACAACTACACTACTGCATTGATATCCAAATAGCTGTATTCAGTTAAAATTACTCAATCATTTGGATAGGTCAGTGTCTATTACGTCACATATCATAAAAGTTAATGATTTAAACAATTTGATCCACATTACAACTAATGTGGTTATTAATCTGTGATTCATTACATTTTTTCCTTCCATTTACACATTTATTACTTAATAAATATTAATAACTATAAATATAGTAATTTTTAATCTCCCGTTGCTTACGCCATGGGACACTCGTCTGAATTATGTGCTAGATTCAGCGAAAATTAGACCTCTAGAATTACTTAAGGCAAGTTGAGTCAGAGTGGCCTAATAACAAATAATGATTTTCAATAAAAGGGAAATAGAAAAGCGCAATTAACTTAGGCGAAAATGAATTCGTAATAGTATTTGCGTTAGATTTATGTTAACAATTTTCGGCCACTGTGCTCTTGTAGATTAACATTTTTAGACTGAAAATATTAATAACACAAGTCATAAAATTACAGTTAGGCTACTCTGCCCCTAGCGAGGTCAATTATTATGACCCCTTGAAAAAGTATTTACCCAATATAATAAAACCAATCTGTCAGATTGTTTAAAATCAAGATATTATTTTTATCTGGGGTATGTTACTCTTATCTGCTTCGTTGTTTGATTACAGTAGCTAGGTACGATGACATGTAGAACGCGGATTCTTTCAAGATTGCGTATGAGGACTGAATAATTTTATCAACTAACTATTTAGGTATGTGTTCTTTATGTCTAAAATTAGCGGACCTTTGAAAACATAAAAAAAAATTTCAATTTATTTTCGATTTTTTTTAAATTAGCGGACCTGCCAAGCGTTATTTTGCCCTATGAAATATTTTTCTCATAAAAACGGTTCTGGTGAGTTTATCTTCAAAGATAGACTGATAGTGGAATTTTTTTTATTATCTTAGAAGAATAATTTTTTTACAAATATTTTTGGATATCTTGAACCGTATGTAATGGAAACATTAAAAGATGGATTCATTTCTCTTTTAACTCTACGTTTCCCTCTATGTCTTCGCTCATATTGGTCGCGTGTTATATAGCCTTAAGCCTCCCTCGATTAATAATCTCTTACCAGAAAAAAAAATTGTTTGTTTATTTAGAACTCGTTCCTGAGATTGGCGCGTTAAAACAAACAAACTCTTCAGCTTTATAATATTATTATAGATTAAATTTCGTCATTCGTCAACAACTAAAGTATTTGATAGAATAACTGTAGGTCTGTCTCATCATTTTAATAATATTAAAATGATAATAACATATTATGTTATCGGGCATAAAATGTCCGCGTAAAAGATACATTGTGTAACAAGATCGTTGTTCACACTCAGAGCGGGAATTTCGGTGATTAATTCCCGCCCAGTTTCAATGTAACTAAATGATGTCTAACAGCCGATCCGTAGTATACATATAGGATAGGATATATTTGTTCTTTTAACCCGTTTATTCGATGAAATTCACATGTTTCAACGCAAAGAAATGGTGAAAGTGTTACGCAAAACTTTCACTCGCTCACCTATGCAACACATTTACACGTTTTTATTGAATAAGGTAAAAAACATATAATAATCCTATAAGTAATAAATTAATTGTCTCATTAAGAAACAAAACAAAAAAGTGAGTTTTGAAATTTACGCGAGTAGTACACATTTATATAAAACCCTTTCAACGGTAAATGTATAAGCGAGCTTGTCTTATTTTAACGGCCCGCGATACGACATTAGGGACACTATCCATCTTCATTCCCCCCATGACCACGGCTGCTCACCAACTTCGGCTTCTGAATTTAAATTAATAATTAAATAAAAATTAATAATTTTAATAATCAGTAGTCACGACTGGACTCGTTAAAGCCCGTCTGCATATGACTACCACGATGCAGACCTCCAAATTTCAAGTGATTTTCTGTTCAAGTATGTATGACTCACTTGATGGAAGATGAAACATCCAAGCCTAATGGAAGAAGAATATCTAAGCCAACTTATCATCAAATGCCTTTTCGACCACCTTTGGCTTTAGAAGTTCGGAAATCCACAGACTAAAACCCAGACGTGATTAAACTTACGGTCATCTGTGGAGGTTAGTTCGTAACCTGGACGAAATTACGATATTTCTATCACCCATTAAATATCCAGATTTCCAGACGATGTCCAACGTGTTTTACAATAATTGTAAATTGATTAGAAACATGGGATCAAAGCTACGACCCGTTGATTATTGGCCATACATTGCTAGCGTTACACCAAGTAATCAAAAATCGTTCTTACGTACTCGTGATTATAATTGTATTTTACAATCAGATAAGTATTATTAACCCTTATTAGCGGCCAGATTTAATTAAGCAACTTTATATGATAATTAATAGAAAAAAATTTGCTTCAATTTGGCATATAATTAATGAAAATAGGTTATAAACTTATAAATTTATCGAAATCATACCTGTTTACACCTGGCTGCAAAGAGGTGCGCAACGGCAACCGGGATTTTTTAGAATCTTCATATTAATTACTGTGTTGTAGACGTTATTGTATTTAAAAAATAAATAAACGAAATTTTTTACCAGAAATCAATTAAAAATAATTTAATTAAAAATAATGGCGGCCAAATTTGTAAATATATATTCTATTAATTATAAATAAACAATAAAATTTGGTTTTAAACAAAAAGTCGATGAGCACACCAATTCCGCAGCGGGATCTTAGACCATATTTACTAGTCGTATAGATTGAATGGTTCGACACTGCCATAACAATTAGTAAGTTAACTCTTTAAAGTATCAAGTCGTAAAATTTTAATGGAATAGATAAAAAACCCGTTATCTATAATTGGCTTTTAATTTGTCTTTTGAATTACTTACATGTATCATCATAATACTGGGTCGTTGGTGTAAAATTAAACAAAGTACTTTATCTAGACTATTTAATCATAGGAAATGTTCCGGGTCAAATATTATTTTATTAATGTCTTATTTGATGAGCTCGTCAGTCTAATGGTAGCGATGACGGCTAATAATCAACGGGTCATGGATTCGACCCTCACCATGTCCAACATTGTCCTTATTTTTTCGGGAACTTGTTGGACTTCGTTTGGAATTTTGGATATTAAATGAGTAGTAGGAATATCGAAATTCCGTCCGGGCCACGAACCACCGTCCACAGGTGGAAAATCCGTGAAGTTTAATTACCTATCGGTTTTAGTCTGTGGATTTCCGAATATTCAATCGACAGCTCATCTTGTTTAGAGTATTTCGCCTGGCCTCCTCTATAATTAAAAACCAATCGAAATGACAATATGCTACTTAAGATAAAAGCAATTACAAACACAGTAACGCTAGAACAAAGGCTAAGAAATAAAGTGTTTGTTTCCATTATCTTATGCTCTTGAGGGGCTTCTATTGGCGGAAAAATAACACATTTTGATAAGGAAAACATGCGAGAAACAAATGTTCTACTATGCTCTATGTACAATAGTGTTTTTATATATTTATTTATTTACCTACAAGTACAACAATAATTCACTTTGTAATCATATATATGAAAACGTATGTGTTTCTAATAATAATGAAATGATAATGAATACGTCAAGCACGAGAGGACCTGGGTTCGAACCCGGGGAAACAATAGATTGTTTTGGTCGGGTAGGGCACAGAAGTTTGATCAACTACTTGACTTGCCTGATCAGCGAAAAACACATACAGACAAATAAATGTGTACGTCCGTCAGGGGAAACAGGATTTCACCAAGTAGAAATTTATTTACAGATGAGTGCCGTCGTAACAGTGGAAGGTGGGCAAGGCCGAGCGGGTACCATGCTACGAGTCCTGGGGGCTGCCCAGAAACGCGAAGTGAAAGCAACCCAAAACCTGGCCATCATCGTCTTTTTCTTCATCATTTGCTGGATACCTCTATACACCATAAACGCCATCAAAGCATTCATGCCGGAGCTGGACATTCCCAATCCTTTGACGTACTTCTGTATTATCTTCTCTCATCTCAACTCAGCGATAAATCCTCTTCTATACGCGTACCATTTGAAGGACTTCAGAGCAGCGTTAAAAGGATTGCTCTGCACAATCATCGGGAGAGGTGTTCCTATACCAGCAGCGTACAGACCGCCGATTCCTATCAGACGACCGGCCTTGGAAAGGTGTAATGCTCTACGAGAGAGACCGCGAGTCTACGTCAACTCACCAGTGTGGCTTCGGCAGAAGGAGGCAGAGCGTGTCGCGTTGGAAGAGAAGAAACGAATAGCCGGCAACCCGGTGTCAAGCAATCCGGACCTGGAGCCGTTCATAACCAAGAGCTGTAACAGTCGCTCCCCTGACGGCTTGGACAACCGGCTGGGACCGTTCCTCATTGAATCCCACGAGCGGCCCCTGAGGAAAGTCGAGGATTTTATAAGAAGAGTGAGAAGTGCGAGTTCTGAACGCAGTTGACAAGAGAACGGCCGCGACCCGGCGTTTCGTGTCACACAATGAAGCTTTAATTAGATACCTGTAAATAGTTTAGTATTTATTGAGATCGTAATATTTTTAAAATGTTTTGAATGGTGTTGTTGCGCTTGGAAGGTCAATTGCTTGTTTTAATAAATGGATGTTAAACGAGTTTGGTTTCATTTTGTTTATGTTTTTATTGACAGAGGGGGAAGGGAAGCGTGGGGGTGACTTGATATCGTTAGTAACATGCATTTATTGTCATGACTTTACAGCAAGTTTAGAAAAATCAAATTGCTTAACAAAGATATTTTATGATTTTTTTTAAATACAATGTTTGTTAAGATTATAACTAATATGAACATTTAAGTTAGTCAATATATCAGATGACATTATAAGTAATAGATAAAATGCATTGCAATACATTAGGCATGTTTGCATGCATGCTTTAGGTGCGCATCTACTAAGGAGTTTAAGAAAAGTCTAACCAGTAAGGCAAATCAGGTTTCCTTAGTTCAATCGTGAAATAGCCACTTCAATTTTGTTTAAATAATGAAGGCTATATGGATGTTTAACTTATTCGAGGTTTTCCCCATGCACTTTAATTTTCGATAGTAACGTTATCTATAACTGTAAGGTGAAAATATTTGTAGAGTCCATTTGCTTAGCTAATGCCAATTGCTATATGCCTACAGATGGCGCTGAAATTAAAACTGAAATAAATTAAAAAAAAAAAGTTTTAAAAAGATATTACTTTATCAGCTTATATCTATAGTCTTGATAAAATACTAGAATATAAAAATAACGCTAGAATATCTATTTTTGCTGATTAAAAATATATTATTAATATATAATATGTCTCAGTAAAAAAAGTATAGACACATCAAAATTGTGTTTCGAGTCTGTCCTTTCATAAAAAAAAAGCTATATTTTCCTTTAATAGCCATAATTTCTAATGCAAAATTGCCATGCCACATTAATGATAGCAGGTCTGGTGTAAAAATTCACACGAACTGACTTATAATTAAAGGTTTTATTCTTTCTATATTTTGCACCTCTATGTACGTATATAGATAATATGAGTATGTATTACAACCTAAACCTAACCTAAACCTAATAATTAGTAATGAGGTAGTTAGTCTATATACTTATGACTTATTCTGTCCGATTTTGATAATTAAAAACCAACTTTGGATACTAAAGTATTGTCTAAAGTTTACACGAGTACACGAATATAAACATTATATAAAATGCGAATTATATTGTTTAACTTCACCTACGGTCCGACGTTTCGGAGGTTTTCAGCTGCCGTGGTCACATATAAAGCAATAAATAAAGGAGATGATTCAGTTCTGCAAAGACCTAGCCAGTTTTTACTTAAACATAAGGGACAACCTCCTTCTTCAGTCCTCCCGTGGACAAGACTGCTGCAAACCACCCGATACGTTGAGTAAATAAGTATACTTAGCTATATGTATTGGGAGAAATGCGTCTTGTAAAAATGAAAGCTACAGGTAAAGCAGAATAATGTTGCCTGTCATAAAAAACTACAGTTGATGCAAATTTAAATAGTTCAGAACATTTATAGGCAGCTTTAACTCTTTGTTTTGTAGCGGCAGGAGGAAAATGATTTCGTTCAATTTAAAAAATCATGCGCTCAGAATAAAACAGAGATTGCGAGAAAATCGAGTCGAAAATTTGCTCTGGACTGTAGACTTTATGCCAAGACTGTCTGGATCGTCGTTGGAAAAGAAGAAAAAACTTAACGGTGATTAATTTATTATAAATATAAAATATAAACATAAAAAGCTACGTATTGACAGATAAATGTAAAATAAATGATAATTCTGAAACAAATATTTCAAGAATAAGCAAAAGATTCGATCAGAAGTCAAAAGAATCGTTAGTTTTCTAATATTCTTCGTCTACCGAACAACATGTTGATAGCTTTTTATTATATCTATTTTACTAGATAGTACTTCTCTATACCTTCTTTTTTATGCCCTTTTTAGTTCCAATCTGGATCATCACAGTGGGACTTCTGATTTACATATATGGAGTGGGAAGTTTCGTATATCAATATAGAGTCGCAGAAAGTCACGGGGACTATATCAAGAGTAATGTCAACGTGTCTATCTTCATTTTGACATTGAACAATTGCATTTGGTGGATACGACAAAGGTAAGTCTTTGGAGTATTAAAGAAATACACAACGGTTTGACACAAAGAAACACAAGGCACTAATATAGTATAACTAATAAATAAAAAAAATTACCTTTACAATTGGTTATCGCCGTGAAGAATTCAAAACTATGTTTTAATTGTGTTTGTAAAAAAATGCCGCCAAAATAACACGTCTTGGCGTGCGTCGTCACATTTGCCCACATATGACGTCATTCTCTTCGATGACTGCCCGCGAATGACATCACGCAATCTGAAATACGAATTTCAGTACGATAAAGAATATCGTAATTATAAAACATTATTGTTCGAGAAATAATCATAACAACATATATTTTATTAATTAGAGGCAAAAAAAACCCTTTTTAACACGATTGCCATTATTTTGATTCGACCTAAATTTCAATACTGTTTGTAGTTTACGCAAAATAAAACGCTAAAAACCGCATTTTAAACCGTTAAAGTGTTTTATGCAAATTTATTTTAATTTAATTTTAACTGTCTTTAACATTATTTTGATTTTCTGAGAAAACATTATTCACATTGAAGGTTTACGGAAGCTCTGAGGATAAAACTAAAATTTGATTTCAGGAAACTCCTTATAAAAGTGTTAAAGGATGTCAAAGTAAACGATGGACTTGCAAGGAGCATGACTTGTTCCATGGAAAAAAGCGAGAAGGTTCTATCCGTGGTCAAAAAGGTTGTTCTAGGCTTTTGTGGGCTAATTATGATCAATGCTCTGTTTATCTACCTCCCGAATCGATTTAATATATCAAATGACCAATATTGTATGACGCCATGTGTTGGTAAGTAACCAAACCAGTATAATATGGTATCTATCTATAAGGGACAAACGATTCATTCTTCAGTGCTATTCACTATGTATAATAGAAAATTATATTACAAGTAATTTCCTAATATTCACGATAGGTACCTTAAGGGGAAGAGGTGTTGTAATTTTTTAAGTTTTCCTGAAATTTCTAACTAATTATCGTGTTTTGATTTTAATTTGATCATGATGATGATACGAATATTAAAAAGATAACGAGTTTCTTTCTATATGCTAATCTCAGGAGCTACTGGTTCGAAATGAAAAATTATTCTTGTATTGGATATACCATTTATCGCTTAAGTACTTCGGCTATATAACGCTACGGAGGAAATTGGGGAAAACCGAGGAACATGGCTCATCTTTGAGGGCTTTCGTTAAATGATCTGAAAACATGTTCTTAAGTTTTGTTTTATTTAAGATTAACTTGTAAGAACCATTTTTGCGGTACTCAAATTTGGACGAAAGTAATGCATCATTACCAATTATTTGGTAGAGTTATATCAAAACCATATTTCTCTTGAAAACAACAAAACAATCAAACGGATCAGCTAGTTTTACTGTAAATGTAAGTAACGAAATCATATCTTCTAGGTATGGGACCAATCGCAGAGACACCGAATCGGCAATTGTGCATGGTGACCATTTTTGTCCAAGAAGTGGGGGTGATTGCTGTAGATATTAATTACCAAAGCATGCAAATACTTTTGATGTGTCACACAGCAGCTATGTACCATCTTTTGGCTCATGACATACTATTTCTGGACGAACCTATTTTGGATGAAATTCAATACCAAGCTGTGAAGGAAAAACTGTCCTTTCTCATCAAACGTCATGTCTTATCGCTGGACATGATCAAAAATATTCAATCATTATACAGTTCTCCAATGGGAGTCAATTTTGGACTAAACACTGTCTGTATAGGATTGATCTTCTACCTACCGACGGAGGAGTGGATGGACTTCTGCCCCTTTGTAATTTACTGCTTCTTTGTCTTCTTTCTGTATTGCTATCTCTCTCAGAAGTTAATAGATGCGTCAGAATTGTTCGAGCGGTCGGTGTACGCTTGTGGCTGGGAGAACTTCGAATGGAGGGAGAGAAGAGTCGTGTACATAATGCTCTTGCAAGCTCAGAAGCCGATACAATTGTTGGCTGCCGATATCGTTCCAGTTAATATTTACACATTCGCTACAACTATACAAATGTTGTACAAGTTCGTTACTGTAATGAAGTTTTAAGTTTGTGAACTTAGTGCTTTATAAAAGTAGTGTAAATTCAAATTGTACGGACAACGTAGCTAGCTTTGTAACGGAAAAACAAAATATTGACATTTAGAACTGCAGTATATCTTTTTAGTTGTAATAATACATTTGTCAAATTTGACATATCAACCGTTTTTATCAAGTAAATGTCAAATATGTCTTTATTAAATGGGTGTTACTTTAATTAAACATCGTTTATTTATTTATTCTTAATTACACCCAAAAAGTAATAAAAAAAAAGAATAAAAACTTATATACTAGAATGGAGGGCAATGGGCGGCCTTATCGCTAACAAGCGATTTCTTCCAGGTAACATAGAGTTAACAATGCTAAGGAAATGAGATGTGCAAGGTATGCGAAACAAATTAGTACAAACAATAAAGAATAAAAAAAACACAAAACTTCAAATATAAACTTACCGATTTAAAAAGGTTACATAATATGTAACCTTTTAATATTATTTACGAACTTAAATGTAGGGACTAAATACATTTCCAATAAATAGATAGTGACTCAGATGACAGAAAGGAAATGTTTATTCGGTATTCTTCTATCGGTATGGTATAGAAATAAAGATTTTTCTGATTTTATTTTATTTATAGAATCAGGATGGCCTGTATCAGAATCTTCCATGTTCCACGTGGGTCAGAAACTCGAACAAAGTTACACATTGATTTTTCAATGATTTATTTCTCCTTAACTTCACAGATTAACAAAATATAACGCTAACACTCTTTAATTAGGCATAGATAACGATACTAAATTAAATCAACTTAGAGACTGTTAAAGATGGCGTCGGAATTAAGCGATTCGTCGAGTGCGTGGTGCGTTGGCGGTTCTTGATTCCGAAGTGACCAAGATGGCCGCCCCGCTTCCACCGGTGTGACGTTCCGCAAGAATGGCGGCTGACAGACAGCTGACATATGTCATGGTGACATTCTGTTCCGACGTCGTCGACAGAAAACGTCAAATGTCATGTGTCGCGCCGTCATATTTATTTATTCTGTCATGCATAATCCTTGTTCTTCCAGAAAATACTTTTTTCTCCTATCTACACAGATAAAACCAGAACCATTTATTTTGAAAGTTACGATTAAATAAGTTTAGATTGTTTGACATCGGTAATGTTAGTTCAATTGTTTTTTAATATTGTTGAAGAAAAGACAAAATGTGAGTTAAAGATTAATCACGACTTTCTGTGTTTCGTTGTTTCAAATACTCTATTTTATTAATTTGTCAGGAACCTTAAATCAGTTGATCGGCTCCTATTTTAGAGGCTGTTAATTCTAGTTATGTAATTTTACATACATATTTTTATTGTTTATGTCTAATTTTTAAGTTATCTGTATCACAGTTTTGTTTGAAACTTTTAAATTCTTGGTTCTTTGTACTTATTTAAAAAGGATTTATTTTTAAAGAAAAGTTGGTCAAAAAACTTAGCAGGCTTATTTTTTTAATTTGCCTTCAAAACGTTATGACAGTATTTATCCTCTATGCATAGTGCATCTATAATTACATACACAGCCCAGGTGAGTAATTTGAGAGAAAATGGCTTTGTATTTAATTGTGGGTTAATTTTTAAAACCTTTCGCATTTTAGTACATTGAACATTGTCTTCAAATATGTCTGTTAGTGCATTATTTAATTACATGAAGAATTTATATAACTATTTAGAAGCGTGAGTTATTTACAAATTTAATGGACACCTCACTTGGCTTAGTTGAACGCATTTCCTAACAATGCGTGAGGTACAAAAGATATCCGGGGTTCAAAGCTGAGAAACTGTAAATTCTGTCAGACGGGCAGGACGCAACAAGTAATGAACTACTTGCCCGTAAACAAAATCCGTATAGGGTAGATCTAAAATTAAATATTGAAGTAATTGTATGCTGAAGTACCTGTTAAAACTAAAGCACATTAAACATATAAGACTTAATAATAAAATTCGCATATTATATAAAAAGAAAAATAAACATTACTTAATATTAACAGTATACCTACGCGTCTGTAGGCGTAGTAAACACGCGCGACTTCGTACTACAGTGATTTTTCATATTTTGATTAGTAAATTGCTATAAATCGTTGAAGCCGCTCGAACGTGTCGACGTTCTCATCTTGTGAATTTTTACATTACAGTAACTATGACTAGTTCAAGAGAATTTGTTCCGTCACTAGTAAGTGAGTATATTTCAGTTATGAAAACACTGTCAAGTGAAGCAGGATGAAAGCACTAGCTCAAATCATTATAACGCAAAATATAAATAAGAAAATCCTTTACAAAACATAGACTAACGTCAACCTTACAATGGGTTTCTTCAACGTAAGGGAACGTTTACAAACAATAAAATTTCGACTAAAGAAGAATCGCATTGAAAATTTACTATGGCTCGTGAATGCTATACCCAGTCTGTCTGGCTCATCGCTGGAGTCAGATCGGAAAGTGAATGGTATATTAGTTTTCGTCAATGGTCCAACTTCACTGAGAATTATTAGCAATGATTAATATTAAACGCCTTTGCATGTCTAATTTCGGTTTTATCACCTCTAAATAATCTTCGAAGACCGATCGATTTGAGCGGCATTGGTTTTTCGGGCTGTTCGGCCGATGTAAGCGAGAATTGATTCATTAATTCTTCGAGACCATCGAGGAGCTAACATCTCCTGATGATGCCGTAGGCTCGTGATGGCGAAACGTCAAGAACCTCTTCACAAGATCATGAAATCTAAAAAAATATTATTATACAAGGAGGGATTCAAACTGCCTACCTCATCATTGAACTAACTAAACCTAATGTTATTACTAACTTGGTGGAGATGCCCGTTCTTAGTCCTGTGAACACGGCTGTTATAATGCATCCGAAGCATCAATTAACTAATATGCGGTATATATTAGTTAATTGATGCTTTACACCGTTAAAAGTGTTTTAAAGTGACTTGCGTAAACTACTTTACTTATAGAGGTGATCTAATAATACTATATTTTTACAGTACCCTTTTGGATTATAAATATTAGTCTTCTGGTATACTTTTATTGTGCTGGTAACATCGTGTTCCAATTGAATACCGCAAAAGTCCCCGGAGAATATATCAAGAGCAACGTAAATGTATCCCTTTTTATTCTAACATTTTATAATTACTACTGGTGGATTCGTGAAAGGTTTGTTGAAACGTTCCTATCAATTTCTTCACTTAAGGGGAATTTCAGAGGCCGCTGTAGTCGCGTATACGTAACTATATTAAAAAATATATATATTTTTGTGGACTGTCTATAGTTTACGCGAGTAGTACACATTTAAATAAAACACTTTAAGGGTTTAAAACGCGATGTATTAGTTAAACTTATTTGAATATGATTTTTAACTTCGGCCCGACGTTTCGGATGCTTTGCAGCAGCCGTGGTCACGGGGACAGTAAAGATGGAGGATGTCTCTGACGTCAAAGTAAAAAATTGCTACGCTAGCGCCATCTGTTCCGTCGAAGTTGGTATTTGGCGAAACTGGCCGGGTCCTTGCAGAATTTACTAACGGTGTCTTCGCGTTTGCCGGTATGCTGTTTATTGGGATCCAGACTTTTTAAAATGGGGTCCCAGGTGTTTGATAATTTGAGGCCGTCCTCCCTATTGAAATTTCGGTGTTTTTTGATTTCAATTGCTTCGCGTACCAATCTTGGAAAAAATCGACTCTCCTTTGCGAGGATTTTTGGCTGGTCAAAGCGAATGTAATGAGTGGGCCCTTCGGATGAGTGTTGGCATACCGCAGATTTGGAGAGACGTTTAATGTAAAGAAGAGGTATAAAACATAAACGGCAAACGCGAAGACACCGTTAGTAAATTCTGCAAGGAGTTCGATCCCAGCACCGATGCAGGGATCGAACTCCAAGAAAAACGATAAATTCGGTCAGCAGTTCACTGAGGTCTGATCAACTTGTCTGTTTTGTCGATCATTAAAATAGACAAAAAGATGTGTTCACCTCATACCCCATAGGGGACAAGAGATTATATCTTATACTTTTCATATCAACGGGTAAAGAAGGGGCAGAAGCTGACGGAAGTGTCCTATATTCACAAGTTGTAAATAATTGTATAAGCCTACACAGCTTGTTAATACTTTTAGAATTAAGTTAAAATTTGACGACATTTATGAAAAGTTGTTCATATATTTACAATGGTCGTCTTATTTGAAAAACATCTCGTCATATCTATTTGAAATCCAATTCAGGTTCGTGTTTCACACAATCCTTTTAACAGGTCACAGTTATGTTATTTAATAGTCTAAGCTATTTCAATTCTTAAAATTTACGGCGCTTTTGTTGTTAAATAATTAATCTTTCAGGAAATTACTTGTAACGGTTTTAAAACAAGTCACTGAAAATGACAGACTAGCAAGGAATGAGAATTACGCGCCGGAAAAACACGAAAAACTTCTTTCAAACATAAAGAAGATCATATTATTTTTCTATGGATTAATTTTCATCGATGCTACATTTATTTATTTACCGAATCGAGTTGATATCTCTAATAATCATTACTGTATGACTCCTTGCGTTGGTAAGTTTCTGATACTAGTTAAATTTGATGGATCCGTTGCTCCCATGGTAGTAATGCATGACTGACAATTAACGACTAGTGGGTACGATTCCCACGAGTTTCAACATGAGTTCAAACATTGACGTACACTTTTTCTGGATTTTGTTAGACTGGATATTAGATGGCTGGTAATAATATCGAAATTTCACAGAACAGCCCAAGTCTAGATAGAAAAGCTGTTAAGTTCCAATCAGGATATTACAAACCCAAAATTTATTTATTTAATCATTGAAATTCATGTCACGATAGCTGGGAGCCCAATTCGACACTGAACTTAAAAACTAACATAGAAATATACAATACAATTAGACTATGACTTAGGTATAACTAACATTAAATATCATTAGTTTACTATTACTAACTATCAGTTTATTATTTTAAAATTCATATG